TCCACCAGGCGCACATTGACATCTACATTGACCTCCATCACTTCGTCTTGAAATGTGTCAACGGCCGTTTGGTAAACTTGAGCTGATGACAAATTGACGAACAATCGTTTGGTCCCATTCATGGTTACTTCGAAGGTATCTTCGTCCGCTATGCCATACGTATCTCGAGTGATGTTGGTAAGTAGTTAGTTACAACTCCCTTCAGCAGTTCAATCATGAGTGTGTTGACACGTTTCCTCAACCCCGTGCCATTATCCTCATGGACAACCCCGTGGCCATTATCCTCACGGACAACCCCGTGGCCATTATCCTCACGGACAACCCCGTGGCCATTATCCTCACGGACAACCCCGTGGCCATTATCCTCACGGACAACCCCGTGGCCTTTACCCTCACGGACAACCCCATGGCCATTATCCTCACGGACAACCCCATGGCCATTATCATCACGGACAACCCCATGGCCATTATCCTCACGGACAACCCTGTGGCCATTATCCTCACGGACAACCCCGTGGCCATTATCCTCACGGACAACCCCGTGGCCATTACCATGGACAACCCCGTGCCATTACCTCACGGACACCCCGTGGCCATACCTCACGTGACAATCTGTGGCATATCCTCACGACAACCTGTGGCCATTCTCAAAGTAGTAGTAGTATCAGTAGTGGTAGTAGTAGTATCAGTAGTGGTAGTAGTAGTACATAGGTAGTAGTAGTATATCAGTATGGTATAGTACAGTAGTGGTTAGTAGTAGATATCAGTAGTGGTAGTAGTAGCAGTAGTGGTAGTAGTAGTATCAGTAGTGGTAGTAGTATATCAGTAGTGGTAGTAGTAGTATCAGTAGTGGTAGTAGTATATCATAGTGGAGTAGTATCAGTAGTGTAGTAGTAGCAGTATGGTAGTAGTATCATAGTGGTAGTAGTATCAGTTGGGTAGTAGTATCATAGTGGTAGTAAGTCAGTAAGTGGTAGTAGTATCAGTATGGTAGTGTAGTATCAGTAGTGGTAGTAGTATCAGTAGTGGTAGTATAGCAGTAGTGGAGTAGTATCAGTAGTGGTAGTAAGTTATCAGTAGTGTATAGTACATGTGGTAGTAGTACAGTTATGGTAGTAGTATCAGTATGGTAGTAGTATCAGTAGTGGTAGTATCAGTAGTAATAGTAGTAGTATCAGTGGTAGTAGTATCAGTAGTGATAGTAGTATCAGTAATGGTAGTAGTAGTATCAGTAGTGGTAGTATCAGTAGTGGTAGTAGTATCAGTAGTGGAGTAGTAGTAGTAGATCAGTAGTGTGAAATAGTATCAGTATGGTATAGATCGGTAATGTAGTAGTATCAGTAATGTAGTAGTAGTATCAGTAATGGTAGTAGTAGTAGTATCAGTAGTGGGGTAGTAGTAGTTATCAGTATGGTAGAAGTAGTATCAGTAGTGGTAGTAGTAGCAGTAAGGTAGTAGTGTATCAGTAGTGTAGTAGTACAGTAGAATAATAGTAGTATCAGTGGTAGTAGCATCAGTATGATAGTATCAGTAATGGTAGTAGTTCAGTTGGTAGTATCAGTAGTGGTAGTAGTAGTATCAGTAGTGGTAGTAGTTAGTGTAGTATCAGTAGTGGAAATAGTATCAAGTGTGGAGTATCAGTAATGGTAGTAGTAGTATCAGTAATGGTAGTAGTAGTAGTATCAGTAGTGAGTATAGTATTCAGTAGATGGGTTAGTAGTATCAGAGGTAGTAGTAGTATCAGTAGTGGTAGTAGTAGTAGTATCAGCAGTGATATAAGTATCAGTAGTGGTAGTAGTAGTAGTATCAGTAGTGGTAGTAGTAGTTGTATCAGTAGTGGTAGTAGTAGTATCATAGTGGTAGTAGTAGTAGTCCAGATAAAGTATCAGTAGTGGTAGTAGTAGTAGTATCAGTAGTGGTAGTAGTAGTAGTATCAGTAGTGGTAGTAGTAGTAGTATCAGTAGTGGTAGTAGTAGTATCAGTAGTGGTAGTAGTAGTAGTATCAGCAGTGATATAAGTATCAGTAGTGGTAGTAGTAGTAGTATCAGTAGTGGTAGTAGTAGTAGTATCAGTAGTGATATAAGTATCAGTAGTGGTAGTAGTAGTAGTATCAGTAGTGGTAGTAGCAGTAGTATCAGTAGTGATATAAGTATCAGTAATAGTAGTAGTATCAGTAGTGGTAGTAGTAGTATCAGTAGAGGTAGTAGTAGTCGTATCAGTAGTGGTAGTAGAAGTATCAGTAGTGGTAGTAGTATCAGTAGTGGTAGTAGTATCAGTAGTGGTAGCAGTATCAGTAGTGGTAGTAGTAGTAGTAGTATCAGTAGCGGTAGTATATAATATCAGTAGTGGTGGTGTATGTACATAGTGTATGTAGAGATTTTAGGTAGTATTAATATCAGTAGTGGTGGTATCAGTAGTGGTAGTGGTAGTAGTATCAGTAGCGGTAGTATTAATAATATCAGTAGTGGTAGTAGTAGTATCAGTAGTGGTAGTAGTAGTAGTATCAGTAGTGATAGTAGTAGTATCTAACTAACCTTACCTAACCTAACCTAATCTAACTAACCTTACCTAACCTAACTTAACCTGACAAACCTTACCTAACCTAACCTAACCTAACCTAACCTAACCCAACCTAACCTAACCTAACCTAACCTAACCTAATCTAACTAACCTTACCTAACCAACTTAACCTGACAAACCTACCTAACTAACCTAACCTAACCTAACCTTACCTAACCCTAACCTACGTAACCCAACCCAACTACCTAACCTAATCTACTAACCTTACTAACCTAACTTAACCTGACAAACTTACACTAACCTAACCTACCTAACTACTAATCTAACCTAACCTGACAAACCTAACCTAACCTAAACCTAACAAACCTAACCTAACCTAATCTAACTAAACCTACCTAACAAACCTACCAACCTGACAAACTAACCTAACTAACCTAACCTAAACTAACCTAACCTAACCTGACAAACCTAACCTAACCTAACAAACCTAACCTGACAACTAACCTAACCTAACTAACTAACCTAACCTAACAAACCTAACCTAACCTAACTAACCTAACAAACCTAACCAAAACCGACAAACATTACCTAACCTAACCAAACAAACCAACCAAACCTAACCTAATCAACCAAACCCTAACCTAACCAAAAAAACCTAACTAACCTGACAAACCAAACCTAACTAAAAAACCTAACCTAACCTAACCTAACCAAACAAACAAACCTAACCTACAAACCTAACCTAACAAACCTAACCAAACCCTAACCTAACAAACCAAACCCTGACAAGCTTACCTAAGCTGACAAAGTTTACTAACCAAAACCTACAAAGCTTACCTAACCTAACCTGACAAAGCTTACCTAACCTAACCTGACAAAGCTTACCTAACCTAACCTGACAAAGCTTACCTAACCTAACCTGACAAAGCTTACCTAACCTAAGCTGACAAAGTTTACCTAACCTAACCTGACAAAGCTTACCTAACCTAAGCTGACAAAGTTTACCTAAGCTGCTGCATGATATCGTGTATAAGATGGCAGTACCAATATAAAGAATTGTAACTTTCTGACTATCCACGAGTTTGATAACAGAACTAAAAGGACTGGGATACGTAGGCATGTTAAAATAGCTGAAGCTCATGTTAACAGAGGATCAGCCTGGATCCAGGCTGCAAGCCTGGTCCACAAACTGGCTCCTGGAGATCAACTCCACCAAGTGCAAAGCCATGAAGGTTGGGGAAGGGCAAAGAAGACCGCAGACGGAGTACAGTCTAGTGGGCCAGAGACTACAAACCTCACTCAAGGAAAAAGATCTTGGGGTGAGTATAACACCAGGCACATCTCCTGAAGCGCACATCAACCAAATAACTGCTGCAGCATATGGGCGCCTAGCAAACCTCAGAACAGCATTCCGACATCTTAATAAGGAATCGTTCAGGACCCTGTACACCGTGTATGTTAGGCCCATATTGGAGTATGCGGCACCAGTTTGGAACCCACACCTAGCCAAGCATGTAAAGAAACTAGAAAAAGTGCAAAGGTTTGCAACAAGACTAGTCCCAGAGGAGAGGTTAAGGGAAATCAACCTGACGGACACTGGAGGACAGGAGAGATAGGGGGGATATGATAACGACTTATAAAATATTGAGGAATTGACAAGGTGGACAGAGACAGGATGTTCCAGAGATGGGACACAGCAACAAGGGAACACAGATGAGTCACAGGGATGTCAGGAAGTATTTCTTCAGTCACAGAGTTGTCAAGAAGTGGAATAGTCTGGGAAGTGATGTAGTGGAGGCAGGATCTATACAATAAGAGTGACCTAGTAGCGACGAGTGAAGAGGCTGGGCCAGGAGCTGTGAATCGACCTCTGTAACCACAACTAGGTGAGTACACTACCCCAAATACACGCCATCCCACAGCTAAAAGCAGTCTATCCATAGTAATGGGTGAATAAAAGATTAATGAATAATTCTAAGCACAGTTTGTAATCGAGTGAGTACGGCAACGGATGTATTAGTGTTTATGTTGCAATTACGCAGAGAGAGAGAGAGAGAGAGAGAGAGAGAGAGAGAGAGAGAGAGAGAGAGAGAGAGAGAGAGAGAGAGAGATGAGACAGATATATGAGAGAAAGAGCCTCTATAGATGGCACTGGTTTACTGACATGCCCAGCATCCAATCCTTTGACCTCTGAAGGCAAGAAGAAGCTACATAACCCCAGCCATAAGGACGGTTACTGGGAAGCCAGCCGCACTATTCTTGACCATCCAAAACTTAACCTGACCAGTTTTATCCTAGCACAAGCTCCGCTTACCATGACGCCTTCCGAGTGTATATACATCACTACCTTCAACCTCTCCTCCTCCCTAGGTTAAAACCCCAGGCCAGCCTACGGATATCTGAGGTTTCCTAATCTTGTCCTCGAATTGGATGACTAATGCAACTGGGGGTTTCCGCCCAGGGAATAGTATTAAGCGGCAAGGAGCCCGCATGCGGCAGCCACTCCAGTCACAACCGCAACACCGCATAGGTGGAGCGTCTCAGTGTGTGTGTGTACGTGTGTATAGTGAGGACCCTCGCCATCTCGTTCTCCCACAAGGTAGCCGCTGTCTCCCTCCTCGCCTCGCCAGTGACGGTGAGTTGACCTCCTTAGCGGTGTTTATACCGTGTATTCGGCTGTTTGAAAGTGACAAGAGATGAAATATTCCAGAGTTGAAGTTGTTGACTGACTCTGAACTTCAGTTACTGGTAATAGTGCATAGAGACTCACGTGATTTTAAAGCCAACTGAAATAGACGCGTATATCTGAAGTGATTTACGCGTAGCTGAAGTGACATGTGACGATTAAATAATGATTTGTATTGAAAAATAATGATATATAATGATTTGCATATTCGTTTGGCGACTGTGAAAATAGCAGTCAAGCTTAGTGATTTACAAGTGTCTTATGGATGCTGTTCTTGCTGCTTGCCAGCTATTGGCTTTAGTGACTTCAATTACGTCGTTGTGATGTAACTGAGCGAGTTACGACGCACTTGATAGAAAACCACCAGGAATAAACTACTGACTTGGTTGTGCAATAAGTGTTGTCTAAATACACGTATATCTTTGTAATTACGGGGATCACCGCCCCCTTCGAAAAAAATATTACAGAAACAAGACCGTTATAAGAAAAAATACAAAATGAAAGTGTTGACGAAGATATTTGTAAAGTTTTCCAGGAGTTTACAACACTGTGTTGCGAGTGTTGCCTCTTTGTTCTCTGTGATTTAATGTGATTTTACGGAAGGAAAACTGTATTGGCTACTCCAGTTATTTAGTCAATACACAATATAAATATTTATTACCTTTAAAACTATCAGTAACTTCTTACTGTATGTATTGGTCGATACAGTTTAGCTGACACATGTCAGTTATTACTGGATCATTGCTGGATCATTGCTGGATCATTGCTGGATCGTTACTGGATCATTACTGGATCATTGCTGGATCATTGCTGGATCATTGCTGGATCGTTACTGGATCATTACTGGATCATTGCTGGATCATTGCTGGATCATTACTGGATCATTACTGGATCATTGCTGGATCATTGCTGGATCATTGCTGGATCATTACTGGATCATTACTGGATCATTACTGGATCATTGCTGGATCATTACTGGATCATTGCTGGATCATTGCTGGATCATTGCTGGATCATTGCTGGATCATTACTGGATCATTGCTGGATCATTGCTGGATCATTACTGGATCATTGCTGGATCATTACTGGATCATTGCTGGATCATTACTGGATCATTACTGGATCATTGCTGGATCATTGCTGGATCATTACTGGATCATTACTGGATCATTGCTGGATAATTACTGGATCATTACTGGATCATTGCTGGATTATTACTGGATCATTACTGGATCATTGCTGGATCATTGTTGTATTACTGGATCATTACTGGATCATTGCTGGATCATTACTGGATCATTACTGGATCATTACTGGATCATTGCTGGATCATTGCTGGATCATTACTGGATCATTACTGGATCGTTACTGGATCATTGCTGGATCATTGCTGGATCATTGCTGGATCGTTACTGGATCATTGCTGAATCATTGCTGGATCATTGCTGGATCATTGCTGGATCATTACTGGATCGTTACTGGATCATTGCTGGATCATTGCTGGATCATTACTGGATCGTTACTGGATCATTACTGGATCATTACTGGATCATTGCTGGATCATTGCTGGATCATTGCTGGATCACTGCTGGATCATTGCTGGATCATTACTGGATCGTTACTGGATCATTACTGGATCGTTACTGGATCATTGCTGGATCATTGCTGGATCATTACTGGATCATTACTGGATTATTACTGGATCATTGCTGGATCATTGCTGGATCATTGCTGGATCACTGCTGGATCATTGCTGGATTATTACTGGATCATTGCTCGATCATTGCTGGATCATTGCTGGATCATTACTGGATCATTGCTGGATCATTACTGGATCATTGCTGGATCATTACTGGATCATTGCTGGATCATTGCTGGATCATTGCTGGATCACTGCTGGATCATTGCTGGATCATTGCTGGATCATTGCTGGATCATTGCTCGATCATTGCTGGATCACTGCTGGATCATTGCTGGATCATTGCTGGATCACTGCTGGATCATTGCTGGATCATTGCTGGATCATTGCTGGATCATTGCTGGATCATTGCTGGATCATTGCTCGATCATTGCTGGATCACTGCTGGATCATTGCTGGATCATTGCTGGATCACTGCTGGATCATTGCTGGATCATTACTGGATTATTACTGGATCATTGCTGGATCATTGCTGGATCACTGCTGGATCATTGCTGGATCATTGCTGGATCATTGCTGGATCATTGCTGGATCATTGCTGGATCACTGCTGGATCATTGCTGGATCATTTATATAACAAATAGTGATAATACCTTTGATATATACCTTTGAAGAGTTTCGAGAGTTTTTCTACTGAGCCCGGCCATGGGCCAGGCTCGTCTGGTGCTTGCATGGTCAACCAGGCTGTTGCTGCTGAGGCCCGCTGCCCCACATATCCATCACAACCTGGTTGATCTGGCACCTTGTGAAGATACTTGTCCACTTTCCTCTTGTTCCAGAAGTTTTTTCAATAATACATCTGACTTTTTAAGATTTTTGCAGTATTTAACCGCTATATAGCCCTTATGGTTTAGCGCTTCTTTTTGATTATATAATAATGCAGTAATTACCTCTATGACATATTCTGGGTAATTTCAAAATAATAATCACGACTCAGGTACCTGTGTAGTGAGTTACCTGTGTTACCTAAGACTGTTAGAGAGAGAGGCAGAGAGAGAGAGAGGCAGAGAGAGAGAGAGGCAGAGAGACACAGAGGCAGAGAGAGACAGAGGCAGAGAGACACAGAGGCAGAGAGAGACAGAGGCAGAGAAAGAGAGAGGCAGAGAGACACAGAGGCAGAGAGAGACAGAGGCAGAGAGACACAGAGGCAGAGAGAGACAGAGGCAGAGAGAGACAGAGGCAGAGAGAGACAGAGGCAGTGTTACCTAAGACTGTTACTGTGTTACACCTAGTGTTCCCTATTTTTCCTAGTGGTTCAGTGTCTCCATCACTGGTGTTATTCAGACGCTGCTACCCACTGCCGACAATTACCTTCGGTACTTAAGCAAATAATTACGCTACTGGGGGGAAGAGATTGTTTTTACGATACGAGTACAATCATAAAACATCGTTCTCGTGAAGCCACGTCGGGCTAAAACGCGTGTTTTATTCGCGAGTTTACTACGCACCGCTGGTGAGTGTAGACGCGGTGACACCAGCGTAACAACGGACGTATTCGCTCTGATACGCTATCTCAGACTGAATTTGTGCGATATTTTTCGATATTTTAGCGTAATGAGTTAATGAATGAAGATGAATCACTGTGTAGTGTTCATCACGATAACACAGATATTAACTGGTAAGGTAAACACAGTTAACTGGTAAGGTAAACACAGCTATTAACTAGTAAGGCACTGTTCTTAACTGGTATGGTAAACACAGCTATTAACTAGTAAGGCACTGTTCTTAACTGGTATGGTAAACACAGCTATTAACTGGTATGGTAAACACTGTTCTTAGCTGGTATGGTAAACACATTGAAGAATTGAGACACTTATGCAACTTATGGAAATCTTTATTTAGGAAACGTTTCGCCACACAGTGACTTCATCAGTCCAATATAAAGTAGAAACGGGTAAGGAGAGGAGAAGTTTGAGGCAATCAGTCCCTCAACCTGGAGTCGATGTGTTCAGTCCATCAATATTGTAGAAAGTACAGCATAGGGGCGTGGACGTGGCTTATATACTGTAGTGAGGTGAGGTGAAGCAGGAGGAGGCGGCGTCACAGTGGTACCATCCACTAGTCGAAGTAGATCTTCGTCCAAAGGTTGGACAAGCGTTGAGGTCTTTGTACCAAGATTCCATTCATCACATCTGTCAGACACTGCAACATCATGGGATCTTGGTACAAAGACTTTAACGCTTGCCCAACCTTTGGACGACGATCTACTTACACTAGTGGCAGGTCCCACTGTGACGCCGCCTCCTCCTGCTTCACCTCACCTGACTACAGTATATAAGCCACCTCTCTGACCCTATACTGTACTTTCTACAAGATTGATGGACTGAACATATCGACTCCAGGCTGAGGGACTGATTACCTCAAACTTCTCCTCTCCTTACACCTTCCTTCTTTGCATTGAACTGATGAAGTCACTGTGTGGGGAAACGTTTCCTCAATAAAGATTTCCGTATGTTGCATGTCTCAATTCTTCAACTTGTCGGTTTTGAAAACCAGTCATCATAAGGTAAACACAGATCTTAACTGGTATGGTAAACACAGTTCTTAACTGGTAAGGTAAACACAGATCTTAACTGGTATGGTAAACACAGTTCTTAACTGGTAAGGTAAACACAGATCTTAACTGGTATGGTAAACACAGTTCTTAACTGGTAAGGTAAACACAGATCTTAACTAGTAAGGTAAACACAGTTCTTAACTGGTAAGGTAAACACAGATCTTAACTGGTATGGTAAACACAGTTCTTAACTGGTAAGGTAAACACAGATCTTAACTAGTAAGGTAAACACAGTTCTTAACTGGTAAGGTAAACACAGATCTTAACTGGCATGGTAAACACAGATCTTAACTGGTATGGTAAACACAGATCTTAACTGGTATGGTAAACACAGATGTTAACTGGTATGGTAAACACAGATGTTAACTGGTATGGTAAACACAGATGTTGAAGGTAGATATTTACTGGGTTATCATCAATCAATCTCGACACACATATGAAAATTGAAATCACCATCACCACCACTACTACCAGCATCACCACCACTACTACCAGCATCACCACCACTACTACCAGCATCACCACCACTACTACCAGCATCATCACCACTACTACCAGCATCACCACCACTACTACCAGCATCACCACCCACACTACCAGCATCACCACCACTACTACCAGCATCACCACCACTACTACCAGCATCACCACCACTACTACCAGCATCACCACCACTACTACCAGCATCACCAC